TATCTAAATACTACCATATTTTTTTCCACAGTCTGAATTAAAAAGAACAAGTTCTCGATTTTTTCCCCAACCACCTCATTCTATAATCCACCACTTGTTCAAAAACATGTTAACTAAGTCTCATTACATATTTTAGTATCTCCAGTGCACTATCAAGGAGATTCATATCTTCATTTTCCTCCTGTAAGCTGCATCAAACCTAAGTCCCCATCAAAATGTTGCTGGCAGAAAGCCTCATTTTTTCTTACCTTTGGCCCTTCACCACTCCCATCTTCAAGAGAAAAAAGCAGTGTGAAAAGAGATCCAAGTCCATAGGGTTGAGGTTAGCTTCTGAAGGTTTTAGAAATTATTGTCATAACAAAAGTAAAATATATAGCAACATAAAAAAAAATGTTTACAGTTAAAAATCTAAAGCTATAATTAGGTGTTTGGCTCTATTCTTGCAAAGGAATTGTTCTTACTRAGAAAATCAGAAGCTGAATCAGATGTTGAAAACTCTTACCTATTGGTGAACTAGAAGAACACAAATGTAAGTTTAAAACTTTTCCCTTCTCACCTGAAACAAAACTCAGGGAAATAGTAAAGTGACTTCTTCTATTCCTTCCATGAGTAAGATCCTTCCAAGACTTCAATGTCTTATGTTCAAATGTTCAAAATTTCTGGTTCTGAAATCCTGATGTCTGCTTTGAAGGGATGTGGTATATCGGGAAAAAGGAATACCTATGGTATCTTCTGCTATGGCTTGAGAAGATGTYATTGTCAGTGTCAGATTGTCAGTGTCATTGTTTAATGTTCTCCAAATGTAAGTCTAAAACAAGGAAAAAAAATGCTGTCTAAATGTTTGCAGCCCAAAGATGCATGCTTTTGTAATTCTAGCTTGGAGTTTAGATAAAAGCAGAGCTGTTTTCTCTTACATTGTAGTCCCTGGATCAGAATACAAGAAGATATTAAGTTCATCCAAAAAACAGCAGGTATTAAATCTTCAGTTTTCACAGCTAGAACTGCACTTGAAAGAGTTACCAAGAAAACAAAGCCTAGGCATTTGCATTGATTCAACAGAGAATAAATTAAATTTTTTATTTTTAAAAAACGCCTGTGTTGCAGCAAAATATTTAATCTTCTGAGGGAAAAAAAAAAAAAAAGAAAAGAAAAAAGAAAGGAGGAAAACCAAGAAAAACTTTGTGCTGTGACAATTTGCATTTGCAAGAGCACTAAGGTGCTCATTGGAATATTAAGACTGTCCTCTCTCTCACCCTTCTGAGGTTTTTGTCATGCATAAGACATGTGATTCAGCAAGAGTGTGTTTCAGATGATAGCATGTTTTTCTCTCACTGGCCATCTCAATAGCATTTCTCCTTCATGAGTACTTTTCCTGCATGGACTCTTGCTTTGATTTTGTCATAGAGTTACCCCTATGTCATATATGTTACCCATATAGGGGACTGGTGTATTCTTTTATGGTTGAGAGAATTCTTATGTTAAGCTCTTCTTCCATTTCAAGTGTTTATACAGCATGTCCCAGGTGTGAAAGAATGAGWGTGTGTGTGTGTGTATGCATGTGCACATGTGGAATTTAGTTATATAGAGACAAATTACATGCTTAAAACAGAATTTTCAGGAATAGAGACAAATTRCGTGCTTAAAACAGGATAGTGTTAAGCTGTGAGCCATCAAGAGTGAAGGCTCTTGAACTCCTTTTGCATCTTTATCACTTATTTTTTCATCCTTAAAGAGTTCCTCTAACACATCAAGAGCAGGATCTAATGGTTCTGCACAATTCTTCAAAAAAGGCATAATCGTATGAAAAGCTGGAGAAAATAAATATCTTCCAATAAAGTGAACAGGCCAAACACTGTAGATGAAGCATGCCTGACGCTGCTCTGTGACACTGACACCAAGCGGTGTGAGATGGTGTATCTGCGCTATTAAACTCTCATACCCTCTGCAGGGCTGCAGCTGCAGCTACACTGCATTTGGGAGCAGTTCTTGGCYGAGGCTGGCTTCTGAATTGTGCCTGGGAATCATGTGGGGCAGTACTATTTAGACAAAAGCTTGCCAGAGGGCATTTCAATAATTCAACAATATAAATAATCAAGCCTAGCAATGTGTCCTGGCACTGCTTGATGTATTAGCACAGCCACAGCGGACCTGGCCAGCTGCTGATGAGCTGCCCTGGCTTTCAAGAAGGGCTGCAGGGAGCTTGCCAAAGCATGCACGACCCGTCATCAGGAGTCAGAGGAGCTGCCTTTGCTGCAGAGCATGCCAGGGGCCGTGCTGGTAGCAACACCACTGTCTTCCAGCACTGCTGCCTCCCTCTGCTGCCAGGCTGTGCAAGAAAATAACCACCTTTTGCTTGGTCCCAGGACCACAAAGGGTTAGCGGGTGCTTCAGCAGTCTGCTGAGACTGCTGCAGTCCTTCACACAGCAACTGAGGAGGCGGCAGCCAGGAGGAGGGGGAGACAAAGCACAGGGATTGGAGGCAAAGCTCTCACTGGCAGCTGTGCATGGAGATATGACCTCCTCTTCCTTTTCATGCTGGCGAGAGATAACTCACTCAGCTTGAATGTAAATACTGAAAAGGGCAGCTTTCATATCTGGCTTTTGCTTTATAAAAGGTATAAATTCTTCAGTGCTGAGAAACATGGTTGAGATTGGGCTTGAGAGATCTACCTCTCACTGGGGTACAGTTTGCATTGTGGGCCCAAGGGGTGAGAAAAGGCCCCCTCAGGCAGGCTGTAGGGGCCCAAGGAAGCCCAGTGCTATGGGATCTGTAACAGGAGGGATCCAGGGAATTGTAGATCTGGCTTTTCAAATTCTTATGGTTGACAAGTAGCGGGGAGGGAACTGTGGGACCTGTGTGTGCAGCAGCAAGGAGAACAAGTGGGCTCAGAGGACAGGAGATATCATGAGATGCCAATGTGCAACCCTAGCAGAACTTTCATCTGTCATAAGGGCCTTTCCAAAAAGGCGTTTGCCTCCTTTTCTCCCTTTCTTTCTCTTTCTCTTTCATGAGGCAGAAGAGGCCATCCAGCAGCAGAGAGGTGCACAGAGATGAGGGTTGCACCAGCAGGACTCAAGATGGGGCATAAACCTGCAAAAAGAAGTGAAGGCAAGAAATGAGAAGATGTGGTAAATGGAACAGATTTTTCTGTTGCACCCTGATTCTGTCAGTAAAGCCAATCAGCACTTTGTTTGATTGGACATCTCTCTGCCATCTTAGTGATAAGACCAGCTTCATGTCCACTGCCAATAATTTCAAATTGCCTTTTTAGATCTTGCCTACTGCAATTTAAATTAGAATGAAAGGTTCTTCATGTACTTCTGAAACAAGCAACCAGCATTGTTACTAAATATCAGTGTAAGTCACTTCAATCTGT